GGGTCGCTATGAGTCGGAAATGACTCGACGGCACATAACAACAACAACAATGGCACCTAACAAGAATAGATCCTATAGGACCCTGTGGTGAATCTATATGACAGAGTCTAACTGCCCCATGGAGTTCTTAAGGCCATTGATCTTTACAGAAACAGATCGCTGTGTCTAAATCACCAGCACCGGTTAACAGCTGAGCAGTTAGCCACTGTACCACCAGGACTCGGCTCCAGCCTAAAGAACATAGTAATCAAGTTCTAGAACTTATGTAGCTAAATATGATTATAGCACCTGTTTGGGCTATCTTTGGTTTGTCCACACAATGCCTAGTTTTAGGTGGTGAAAGTCTCTTTACTAAACTGGCAGTGTGACCCTGTAATATTGCTGCTTCTTTGCAATCCTTTCTGACCCTGATGTGAGGCATCCTGGATTCATGGAAGGTTTTTAAAGATCAGAGCACAGTTCTGTTTTCTTCAGGTCATTTTTCAATTCTGTGAGAGCTGCTTACTGCTTCTCTGAGGCCCTTGTTTGTTCATCTGTTTCATTCCCCCATGACCTTGAGTTAAGGCACTTTTCTTTCTTTTGGGATCACAGGTCCACACGTTCCGAGGTCCACATTGGTGTGAATACTGTGCCAACTTCATGTGGGGACTCATCGCCCAAGGAGTCCAGTGCTCAGGTAGACGGGAACCTCCTTCGTCCTTTCCGGTTATGTGAAGTGCCACCATGTTGAGATGGAGGGTCTCTCTCCAGAGCTGGGAAACCCATGTCCAAATTAGTTCAAAAGCCTAGCTTCCTGCAGGGTTCAAAACAGCCATTTACTTAGTGGGGAGACTGTTCTATGTTGTTTTTAAGAATAAGATGAAATAGCTGTCATTTGTGCAAGAAAATTTAAGCATAACACACATGCACAAGCAAGTACATTTTCCGAAGACTACATCTGTCTTCCAGTTTAAGTTGTTCTTTATGTGTTATTTTTAGCTGCTGCCAAGTCAACACTCAACTTTTAACCTAATACACCAAAGCAACCCAGTGTTACTCGATCTGTTGTCTTCCACATGATCAGTTGCAGATCTCTGTTTTTACCCATAGTGCTTTCATTGGCCAATTTTTAGAAATAGATCACCAGGCCTTTCCTCATGGTTTATCTTTATCTGGAAGCTCTCACTGAAACCATATGACATCATACAAAGCATTTAGGTCTCCACTGCTAGACTAATAGTGGCTCCTTGGGGCTGTATTTGGCTGAGAATATAACCTGAGTCTCTCACATGGAAGGGAAGAATTCTACCACTGAACCACCAATGCCTTCCCCCAAAATAGGTAGTAGTTCTTAAAAGAAAAAACATCAAATCCAGTGGAATTGCATTGAGAAAAACCACATTTCTTTCCTGTCCCCACATTACTAGTAAAGCTGATATAGAAAAATACTAATACATACCAGGCATTACACTGTTTTAGCTGCTGTGAAGTCAGTCCCCAACTCATATGGCAACCTTGTATGTTACAGAGGAGAATGGCTCCATGGGCTTGTCTTGGCCATAATCTACACAAAGTGTTACCAGGCTTTTCTCTCATGGTACTCTGAGTGGGTTTGGACCAGCTCAACCAGCACCTTTTTCCCCTCTAAAAGACTGAGAATGAATATCTCTCATTACTCAAGAAAAGTAATTTTTAAACACCACACGCAAGCACATTTCTGTAGGAGAAGCATACTGAATATCCCATGAACTGCCAAAGGAACAAACAGGTGCATGTTGGAAAAGGTGCAGCCAGGGTGCTCCTTGGAGGCAAGGATGACAAAGCCTCATCTCTCATACTTTGGACATGTTACTAGGAGAGGCTATTCCTTGGGAAAGGACGTCATGCTTGGAAGAGTGGAGGATCAGCAAAGGAGAGGATGACCCTATTGAGATAGACTGACACAATGCCCACCACAATGGACTCATGTGTATCAGAGATAGTGAGGATGGCACAGAATAGGTTGGAATTTATAGAGTCACTATGAGTCATACTTAACTCAATGGCACCCAACAACAACAACATACCTGTCTGCCAGGTTCAGTTGTTGTTATGTTATGTGGGTTCTTATTGGCTAAGTTATGCTGTACTCACCAAGGCTCTTCAGGTGCCACATGTCGTTTAACCCACAGCAGCAGGCTTTAGGGTGGTGCCATCAATCTCTCAATTAAACAGAGGTAACTGGGGCTCAGAGATACATGTACTTGTTAATCGTCCTTGGCCACATCCTGAGCAGTGAAACGTCAAGAGCAGTCTGACTACAGAGCCCATGTTCAGTTTCAGGTCTTTTTTCTCCTGCCATCAGGTTTACATGGAAGCTGCAAACCTTGATGTGATGGCACATATTTTCTAATCATTTAGAAACTGTTGTTTTCTCCAGCTAGAGTTGAAGGCATACAAGTCATTGCTAACAGCGTCCAACACACCATTTGGATATATCTAACAATGTGATAAAGAGTTGCCAGATTAATGTGGAACAGTGCTGGCTCCCTGATTCATCTTGCCACTGCCAATTTTTTTTTCTTTTCTGTTTTTTCTGGCCAACACTTGAGGCCAGGGACAAAATCAGTCCCCTGGGAAAATTGATTGAGTTTCCACCAACACTTTGACTGAGCTCCTTCTGGCTGGTGGGCATGATTCTGAGAAGTAATTCTTAAGAAACATTAAATATAGACTTACCTGGCAGGGGAGAAGCCATGACCACAAAGGTGGTTTTCCCAGGCCAAGGCTTATCTACTGTTCTCTGGATGTGCTGACCCCTGCGATTTCCCCAAATGTGGAAAACTTGACTGTATAATTTGTGGTGTTGGGGGACTGTATTCATGCTTTCCTCTTTAAAAAAAAATTAAATAAAAGAAGCTAATGATATATCAGGGAGTTCTGGTGGCCTAGGGGCAAGAAGCTGCGCTGAAACCCAAAAGGCACATGGTTCCAGTCTGCCAGCTATTCCATCAGAGAAAATGAGCAATATTCTTCTATGCAGTAAACTGCCTCTAAAAACCTGCTGGAGGGTCAGCTGTGGGTCAGTTCCAACTTGATAGTACACAACAACAATGATATGTCGGTGAAGTAGTCTTCTTGGCATACCACCCAGCTTGGTTCACAGGGCCCATAGCTTCTTAAATCCTCCTCTCTGACTGAAAGGGAGTTTCTTCGCTTCTGACAAGCCCTGGTGGTACAATGGTTAAGCACTCAACTGCTCACTGAAAGCTTGGTGGGTTAAACTCACTTTCCATCTTTGCAGGAGAAAGACTTAGAAAAATACTTCAGTCCAGGGGGTGGGGGCAGATTTTGAGAAGATTCTCTCTGCCCTCCCAGATCTACAATAAAGCCTTTTGGATATTAGGGTGGGGGGGGGCACAGATTACAGCCTAGGAAATCCGATGGGGCTCATGGGATTGCTATGAGTTGGGATCAATGCACTGAGACCAAATAACAGTAACTATATAAGAGGACAATCACTGGTGTCCAATCTGATACCAGAATGGTTCACCTATTTCTTATTTATGTCAGGTGACCCTGTGGGCTTCAGTACATACACCTCAAGCTCCGCCCCAAGGTCAGAAATTCCCCAGCTACCCTAATAAATAGAAAAGGTTAACACGGCAGGCATCATGTATCTGTCTCATATAATAATCTAAGCTTCAAGGGAGCAGATTATCAGTTCAGTCCTTTATGAAGCCACTGGGTGGGTTCAAACTGCTGACCTTTGGCTAGCAAATAAGGGCTTACTTATTGTACCACAAGGGCCTCTTTAGTACTTCCAGAGCACTTACTCTATTTTAGACATATTCCTGAACACTTTACATATATATGTTCACATACATGTGACTCAAAGCACCGAGGAAGGTGCTATTAATAATCTTCCCATTCATCAAAGAGGAACCAAATGAGAAAGCCTGTGAATTGTATTTACTCAGTTCCCAAAAGGAGACATTTGCTCAATAGATCTGCCAAAATAATATTGTTATTTACTTGAATTATATTAAAGTTCTTACATTGCTAAAACTAAGATACATCATAATCAGCTTTTCTCTTCAGAAAGGGAGTAAACAGAGGATTCAGTCAGTAAACATTGAGTGAAAATTACAATGACATTACCACTGACCTTACAGTGGTTTAGAATCTCTAAAATCCTCAATATGATTGAGTGGGTTTTTCTAAGACAGTTGATGACATTATTCACAATTATATGTATGTGTACGTATATAGTATATATAAACATTATTCTTTATACCTAGCAAGACAACATTAAAAGGCACTTGAAGAAGGTAGTATACTGACTGTGAATAACATCAGCATTAAATTTTTATTTCCCACAATGTAGACTGTGCCTTGTTACTGTCAGAGAAATTCCGTCAGTGGATACCAACTGCTAAAGGCTTTTAATGTGTTCATTGAACTTAAAATCACCTTTTCAGCTTTGGATCTTGATAATATGCTTTATAAATAATTACTCTAATCATCACATTACATGGCATTGTTATAAATTGTAAACTCTCCTGTATCCTCACTGGTGTCCAATTAGGCATTATGTCCATCTTACAGATGTCAAAATGAGGCAGGTAGAAAAGAAAACTACCTACCAGGAATTACTCAACACAGAATGGATTGAAAACTATGGGATAACCCTTCAACAAATGACAAGAGGGTGTCAGTGGTCACTGGTCCTACAGTGAGAATAGGCAGTGGTAGATCAGAGGTAGAACTCTCACCTTCCATGAAAATGGCCTACACACAACACACACACACACACACACGTACGTGTACACTTCCTGGCTAATGTACCACATATGCAACAAGGCCCTGACTGGAGGACACAGTAGACCTTCCAGAGCAAGACGGATTGGGATGAATGTCCTGGTGATCTACTTCTGCAAACCAGTCAATGAAAACTCTGTGCATTTCAGTGATCTCACCTATATCTAATCATGAGATGGCAATAGGACCAAGACATTGTGTTCCAGTGTGCATGAGTTACGGACGGCTGGCTGGCAGCTAATGACAACAGTGAGGATCTCCTGCAAAAAAAAAGAACATCAAAGACTGATTGCAAACAACCTTCAATGACCCCTCATGCCTTTTTAGAGTCGTAACTAGCTCTGGGAATTCAAATCCCACTTTGGGACCCAAAGCATTCCATGTTTAAGATGGGGAGGAGAGGGAAACTCTTTCATTGAACTGCTGCTCTATTCTAAGGTCTAGGAACAAAGATGGCTCCACAAGAAAAGTTGAATTATTTTGTGAATAAAGGTGAATTTCCTACTCACTTAGTGTCACCTCTATGTGGAACATTCCAGAAAAACTGCATCAATATCCTGGGCATTTTTTCTTTTTTATTTTTGGAAACATGTAATTTGCATTGGTCTCTGACAAAAGGTCTGGTCATAGTTAATATGGCTTCTTTGTTTACAGACTGTGGATTGAATGTCCACAAGCAGTGTTCCAAGCATGTCCCCAATGACTGCCAACCAGATCTCAAGAGGATCAAGAAAGTGTACTGTTGTGACCTCACAACCCTTGTGAAGGCTCACAACACTCAGCGGCCCATGGTGGTGGACATATGCATTCGAGAAATTGAAGCAAGAGGTTTGGAAAATACTCTTTACCATAGCGATTTTTTTTCTGTTTATTTTTACTGTTGTTAAGGAAACTATCTCATAATTGTTAAATGGATTGTCCGCTGTTGTCAGAAAATAGCTTACACATACACATAGATGCACACGCACACACAACTCTATCCAGCCAATTATATTCATTTCCATTTCCAATCCAACTAATTAAGTTCATTTCCTTTTCCTATATAACCCATGCATGTACATATTCAAAATGTGTACTGAGTACTTGTTACATGATGTTGTTGTTGTTGTTATGTGCCATCGAGTCGTTTCTGACTCATAGCGACCCTACGCACAACAGCTCTAAACCCTGCTCTATCCTGCGCCAACCGCACCGCCTCTGACACACCCATCCCGATTACCCCAGTCACCGAATCAATCCATCTCATAGAGGGTCTTCCCCTCCTGCGCTGTCCCTCCACCCTCCCAAGCATGATGTCCCTCTCCAAGGACCCGTCCCTCCTGGCAACATGTCCAAAGTATGTCAGACGAAGCCCCAGAATCCTTGCCTCCAAGGAGCAGCTTGGTTTAATCCTCTCCAAGATGGATCTGTTTGTTTTCCTGGCAGTCCATGGTACATTCAGTACCCTTCTCCAGCACCACAGCTCAAAAGCATCCACTCTCCTTCTGTCCTCCCTAGCATAACAAGCAATTGCAAATACCATGACCTGTATCAGGCGCACCTTAGTCTCCAGAGAGACACTGTTGCTCCTGAGTACGTTTGAGAGGTCCCTAACGGCAGACTTTCCCATCGCGATACGCTTTTTGATTTCCTGACTGCTGGTACCAAGAGTGTTAACTGTGGAGCCGAGCAAAGTGAAGCTGTGAACACTCTCAATCTCTTCATCATCCATCCTGACGCTGCCAATTGGTCCAGTGGCGAGAATCTTTGTCTTCTTGACGTTGAGCCTTAGTCCATACTGAAGGCTGCAGTCCTTGACCCTTCGCAGCAAGTGCATGAGGTCCTCCTCAGTTTCAGCAAGCAAGGTAGCATTGATAATATAAATTATAATCTTTGCTTTCAAAAAGTTCATACAGTAGTTGGAGTTTAGTCAGATAATGGTGTAGATGTGCATGCTCAAGGCACCGTGGAGAAACACAGACAGACATTTTCAACAAATTTGACAATTCAAAAAGGCTTTATGGCAGAGGTGAGGTTTGAATGGACTCTCAAAAGTGCTCCTATTCCATAAGAAATTATTATCAAAACATATGTGTCCTATAATAGAAAATGTCATTCCTGATATTGGTTCTGTTTATTTCAGAGAAGAGAGTTGAAGTATTAGTTCATCCATATAATACAAAGAAACAAGGAAAGGAAGACAGAAATGTGTCAAATAAAAAGGGGTTTATATTATATGGGGAGCACTGTGACCCAGTCCATAGGGAGTTACACTGCTAACGCAGGGGCTCCACCTCTCTGGTGATTTAAATCCACCAGTGGTTCTGTGGAAGAAAGAGGGACAGTCTCCTCCTGTGTGATTTACAGCCTCAGAAACCCAGTGGAGGGTCAACTACAAGTCAGTTCTCACTGGACAGAGTTGTGTTATACTTGAGTCATTTTTCTTTCTTATTTTTTTTAAAATTATTAATTTTAATGAATGTTTACAGAGATTTTGGATTTCCAGTCATTCATTGTTGTACATTTTTCTTTCTTTATGGCAACTATCTAGTGTCAAAATGGTGGTTGGCAGACATGATCTGATTGAGAAAAACTTAGATTGCTAGGTGTACCTTGAGTAATTCATTCATTTATAAAGGCTTTTACTGTTTTGTTATGTATGTTGTTGTTGTTATGTGCTATGAAGTCACCTGTGACTCATAGCAATACTATGTACAACAGCCCTGAACCCTGTCCTGTCCTGAGCCCATCTTACTGACTCTAACACACCTAATCCCATTGCCCCAGTTATGGTATCCATGCATCTCATCCGAGGTCTTTCTCTCCTGCGCTGTCCCTCCACCCTTCCAAGTATGATGTCCTTCTCCAAGGACCAGTCTCTCCTGGCCACAGACCCAAAGTATGTGAGATGGAGCTTCAAAATCCTAGCCTTCAAGGAGAAACTTGGTTTCATCCTCTCCAAGACAGATCTATTTGTCCAAGGGTCCTCTCCAGCACCATGACCAAAGACATCAATTCTTCTTTGTCTATAAGTCATATCCATTATTGCATCCACATTAACTTAATATAGCTTATGGATTTTTATTTACTGGCCAACCATCTCATTCTTTTCAGAAGGAAAAATGAAAAGACATTATGTCTTATTATATACTGTTGTGTTAGAACCAACCCATAATTGACCCTCCAATGGATTTTCAGAGGCAATTTAATCCTACAGGATGAGGCTGCTTATCTTTCTCCCATGGAGCAGCTGGTAGATTTGAACCATGTGCCTTTGAGATTGCACCCCAGCTTTCTACCACTATGACACCAAGCCAGTTAGAGATAGGAAATAATTTTCTTTCTCATAGAGAATAAAAGCTATAGCTATTGTTTCCTTAGGACTGGCTCGTTTTATCAAAGATTATGAGCAATATCTCCTGCCTTTCAACTGCATTGGCTGTCAGCCTGTAAGAGCTTAATCAGTGCTTTGGGATCCATTGCCAGTATTGATACAAAGGTATCAGATTAATATAGGGACACCTATATTAGAGAGGAGAAGATGGTCTTGACCCTGCATGCATGACTAGGGTAAGTAGCCCTACGTCCTGCTGGCTAGACAAGCAAACATGAATTTCTCTATGTTTAGTAGTTATTGAATGTGTACATACATGCTTGTATAGTTCATCAGAGAAGACTGATAATTCAGGCAAAGTTACCACCTGTATGTGATATTTAAGGAGAAGACACAAGGGGATCATGGGTCAAGTGTACCCAATACTGTTGTATTTGTTATTGTTGTTAGGTGTTATTGATTGACCTATGACCCAGAGTGGCCCTTTGAACAGTGAATCTGAACCTTACCCTATCCTGCACCAACCTCATCATCTCTGATATACGTGAGTCCATTACTAGTTACATCAGGAAGCTCTAGTGACCTAGTCATAAGGAATTACACTGCCAGCCCAAAGGCACAGAGTTCAAATCCTCCAGCTGCTCCATGAGAGAAAGATAGTCTCTTCCCACGTTATTTACTGCCCTGAAAACCCATTGGTGGATTAGCTATAAGTCTGTTCTGACTCAATGGGACATAAGAACAGCATTGTTAAAATCATTGAGTCAATCCCTCATTAAGGGTCTTCCTCTCTTTCACTAGAACTTCAGAAATACAAATCTGGATTTATATCAAATAAGACACAGTAAAGGGATTAGAGTCACAGATAATAAGAGACTGAGAAAAACTGGATGAAATATGTTTACAGCATTGAAGTCTATGGGGGAGAGAATAGTCTAAAAGTATTATATTTTAGGGCATTATTTTTATCGTAGGAGTATGCAATGAGGGTTGCAGAG